ATTGTATCTGTACCAGATGGAAATTCCTCCTGTACAGCCATCGAAGGCTTCACGAACTACGTGGTCTAAATAGATGTTAAATAATGTGGGAGCCAGAGGACATCCTTGTCGCACCCCAAGGTGAACAGGGAATGGCTCCGACTCCCGGCCACGTAGTTTTACCCGGGCCCGCTCACCATCATCAAGGTCCTTAATGATCATGAGCAGAATCAGGGACTCCGAAAGCACGAAGAACAACCTAGAGCCTAGGCCTACTGATGGTATCATAGGTCTTGACCAAGTCAATAAAGCAGAGATGTAGTGCTTGTTGGAATTCTCTACACCTCTGGAAAGGCGATGTTGAATAATCCTTGCCAGGACCTTTCCCAGCACACTGAGCAGTAAGATGCCCCTGTAGTTGTTACAATCTGTGCGGTCCCCCTTCTTAAAGAGGGGGACCACCAGGGCATCCTTCCAATCCTGCAGAACCCGTCCAGTGTTCCAGACTGTTGTCATGATGTCATGTAGGGCATTCTGTGTACAAACGCCACCCTTCCTCAGCATTTCGCTTGGGAGATCATTCTGCCTGGTGCCTTTCCTGGTCTCAGACTCTAGATCACCTTCAGTACTTCCTCAACAGATGGCACCTCAGCCAGCCACTCACATGCGGTGACAACGTCTTCCAATATTTGAGGCACAGCAGCCTCAGCGGGGTCATCCCCACTTTGCCCCATGATGTTTTCCAGGTTGAGGGATTTCCCCTCCACCAAGACCTCACAGAAATGCTCAGCAAATCTGCAAATCTGTTCCTGGGGGTCAGAGATTCGATCACTGTTCTTTCCCCTAATGACGGTCATAGGTGTGATGGCGGGCCATTGCGGCAGATTCCATTTCCTCAGCACCCCACGACCACTACCCATCCTTGCAGCGCCTCACGGATCTCCAAACCTCTGAGCGAAGGCTGAGGTAAGCCTCATTCTTTGATGTGAGATGCTGTAGACGATGATAGTGGGCCTGACCCTTTTTCTCAGCTAGCCTGAACACCTCCTCTGTCAGCCAGAGCCTCTGGGGAGGTCTGGACCGTGTACCCAACGCAGCCATTGTCACTGCATGAGCCACAGTCCTAAACCTCGCCCATTTCCCCTCGACATCCGGAGGAGTGGGGGACGATGCCAACCCAAGCTACAAGCGATGATGAAACTTTCGCTTCCAACTTTCATCAGCTATCTGAGACCAGGCCACTTCGTTTGAATGGGGTCCTGGGTGGACACCCACCACCGGAGTGGAAGAATGGCAGGCGCATCTTTCATTTGACAAGTCGATGGTCAGTGGGCAGATCAGCTCCACGGTAGGTCCTGGTGTCAAGGACATGGGCCCGCATCTGTTGTTCCGTCACTATATAGTCCAGCAGATGTTCTTGCTTGGACCCAGTGTGCATCCATGATGTGTGGATGCGCCAATGCTGGAACAGCATATTGGATTTTTTTCCCATGGTATCGTAGTAATTTATTTGAAGGTGGAGGAGTTACCAGCCCCTCACACCCGTCCAGAGCCCCGATTTGGCCGCTGTGGTGGCTACAAACGCCATAAGGGGGAATCGCCAATCTACATTGGCCCTCCGAACCGGCACTGGTCAACACAGTGTTGCCATCCAGCACCAACGAGGTAGGGGGTTGTTTTACCGAACTGTACACACACGCACACACCCTCTGAAAATTCCCTGAAGCCTGCAATGTTGCTTGGTGTTACCAGTCTGCCGTGCTGCTGCCTTCTGTTCCAAACCCTGGAAGGTGGAATCAGAGAGCCAGGGTTTTACGAACACGATTTTGGAGGCCTTCCGTAGCTTCAGCAGCCAGAGTACTAGAGTCTCGAACATGGGACCAAGCACATTCAACATCAACATCTTGTGGTGAGATGGTGGAGGCTGCCAAGTGAGACTCAACTGCCCTGGAGAACTTATATTATCAGCAGTATCGTGGCTGTCCCTGATTCTCTGGACATCATGTCGCTTAACGGCTGATGATTTCCCGAGTATTGGAGAGCGGAGGGAAACTTGTGCATTAGCAGGTGCCTCTGTTCCATGGAAAACCCGGTTTGACTGATAGGATCTATTTCATTCGTTGTGTGACCATCGTTTGAAATCTAAGTTTGTGGATGTTCAGTCTACGATACCGATAACAGTGAGGTCCTCAGATGAGCAGGACAGACGTTTGGGAGCATTGTCGTTGGCAATCCCAGAGCCAAAAGGCCCGATAACATATTCTAAGCCGCTGCCGGTTGTTGCATGTAACTGCATTTACATCTCCAATGATCATGTTTGTGTTTTTTGCCTTGGGATAGAAAGTAGCGAGCCACATAATTGATCACAGAAGTGGTCTTTTTCATCAGCGCTTGACTGTTCATTTGGTGCATGTACAACAAGGACCGACAGATGTCCATGTCGATGCTGTATCCTGGCCAGCAAGATTCGTGGTGAGACGGGTGTCCATGCTATAAGTGAGTTGTTGAGAGTCGGCCTGATGATCAGTGCAACCCCACAAACAAGACGTTGACACCCCGAATGCATAACGGTTGCATCGTCAAAAGTGGCTCAATCACTTCCTGTGAGTCTGGCCTCAGTGAGGGCCAGCGATCATGATATTATATTTGGCCGGTCAATCAAATAGACAAATATATATATATAAAAAAACAAATCCCAGTAACAATATTTTAATGCCTATACGCAATAATATATGCTCAATTAGTCGATGCAGATATTTAACTCCATTTTGTTTACATGATAATTCACTTCACAATTCCAACCAAAATATTAATTGAATTGTAACGCCGTCTAAAACCAGACTATGTCATTTAATCACAGCCAGATCCTGCAATTTTCATGTCAGGGCTCTGCGATGCATTTGATCATTGCTGAGTCATGACATAGCCAGCACGGTGGGGCGTAGCAACGTATCGACAAGGCTCGATTATCGCAACTCACTATGCTATGGAACTCCTGTAAAAAAAAACATTATACTGGTAGGAACGAAGTTGTAAACTGAGTGTACCAGCCTGCAATAAATTAATGTGTCCGTCCGTCCGTCCCCTTTCATAAGAAGTGAAATCTCGTGCTGTTGGGTGTAATAAAATTGCGCAAAATTCCAATGTTCCTACCAGCCCACCCTACAGGGAGCTGTTAAAGCTGCAGCGTGTACAAACGTCTCTGGCAAGTGCCGTGACGGGTACTGCAAGATCCGACCGTGTCCGTCCAGTGCTCGCTGAGCTGCATTGGCTTCCATTTGCCGAACGAATACGTTACAAGGTCGCGCTCGTTACACACAACGTGATTGCCACAAATGAACCACCACAATACCTTACTGATCTCGTTAAGGAGCATAAACCATCATTATGCGAACTCCAATCATCCTTGCAGTGGATTGCCACTCACCATGGAACAAATACATTACTGTATACGCGTCGCGCACTTTCAGATGCGCTTCTGCGGCTGTCTGGAATGCTCTTGCTCTCAATAACGAAGTCATTGGCGCTATGCACTTTTAAATATAGATTCAAAACTAATTTCTTTAGAACGGCTTTTTGTGTTTAGTTTGTTGTCCTTCCCCACACCTTTGATATGTATGGTTGGCTATGTACTGTGTGAAAAAAGTTCAACATAAATACACTCCACTATAGGCTTCACTAGTGACGTCATCACATCTATCCCTCTATTTAAGTAACGAAACAGAAGGATGTCCCCACAAATCTGTCTGTCGCCTGATGAAGCTAGCTGTAATTACTGGCTAAACGTCGTATTCAGATTGTAAATGTTGTGGCTTGGCTCTTCAACACTGTGCTGTACTACTATACACTACACCATACACTACACTATACACTACTATACACTACACCATACACTACACTATACACTACACCATACACTACACTATACACTGCACTATACACTACTATATACTACACTCTACACTGCTATACACTACACTATACACTACTATATACTACACTATACACTACACTATATACTACACTATACACTACACTATATACTACACTATACACTACACTACTATACACTACACGATACACTACACTATACATTACACTATACACTACTATATACTACACTATACACTACACCATACGCTACACTATACACTACTATACACTACACAATACACTACACTATAAACTGCTATATACTACACTCAACACTGCTATACACCACACTATTCACTACACAATATACTACACTACACACAGCTATACACTACACGATACACTACACTATACACTACTATATACTACACTATACACTACACTATACACTACACTACTATACACTACACTATACACTACTATATACTACACTATACACTACACCATACACTACACTATACACTACTATACACTACACCATACACTACACTATAAACTGCTATATACTACACTCAACACTGCTATACACCACACTATTCACTACACAATATACTACACTACACACTGCTATACACTACACGATACACTACACTATACACTACACTATACACTACACTATACACTACACCATGCACTACACCATACACTACCATTCGATGTCATTGCAAGCATTCAGCATTGACTGTTGTTCGTCTGGGCGTTGCAGGGTTGCTGAGGAGCCTTGGGTGGACAACTTCTCCATGGAACTGGAGTCGCTCAGAGGGGCATCCTTGTGTTGAACGGAGGCACGACGGGAATGGAGCAACATCAGCACCATCATCACAGCAACCAAGAGGGAGAGACTCACTGCTGCTCCTGCAGCTATCGCTGCATGTGCTTTGCCATTTGCAGATACATCTGGGTCTGGTTAACAACACACACACACACATTTATTAAGAACACACGGAGAAGTACCGATGAAGAACATGTACATCATCCCTTGCTGTTGCTAAACCACTGCCGTGTGAATGTAGAATCATCGTACCGCTGCAGACGGCGTCGGTGGCGTTCGTACACGGAGCCAGCTCTCGTTCACAGCTTCACAAAGACACAGACACACACGCGCGCACGCACGGCCAACAGTTTCAGAATTTACCGTCACCACTAGGTGGCGAATTGGGATTTTTCGCTGCACTCTGTAGCCACATCGAGTGATAACGACTGGCGCAGTGATGGGGCAATCCCCACAGATAAGTTTTATTGTTATAGGTGCTGCCCCGTTCTAACTGTAGTCACTTCTGAAAGGGAAGTTAATGCCTCAGTAGGCTTTGCCTGGGTAGGGTGGGGACGGTTCAATTTCATTTTTTGATGCTTCTTGGTGATTTGTTTGCCTTCCCTGTACTTTTGCACTCCTGTCGTGTTTTTGAAGCTGTTTGTTGGAACGCTCTTACCCCGTGGCCCCCCGTCTGGACATCTGTGGAAAAAAAATAAGCTTCTCGGCTCATCGGATACCCTCCTCCGGTGTAAATAAAAAAAATATTTTGATTTAAAGCTTTCGTGACTGCAGTAATTCATATTCTTAGTTTTTTCGGTAAAGTCACGCTGAAGAGAAACAACAAAATAACAAAATATATATAAAACAATAAAAAATTCTCACGACGTTTCGACCATAACTCAAACGTCGTGAGAATTTTTTATTGTTTTATATATATTTTGTTATTTTGTTGTTTCTCTTCAGCGTGACTTTACCGAAAAAACTAAGAATATAAAAAAAAATATTCTGAGTACGGGGAAAAAACGGGAGACGTCGCAAAAGGTGGGTTCTCCGCTGGACCCACCGTGTGCAGTTTCGGCAGCGAGACCCGGGCCGGTCACTGAATGTGCCTGGAGGACAGTCCGTGCACTTGGTGACGAAATCCGTATAGGAACCTGCAGGGCGGGTAGAGAACGGGGGACGGAGGTCAACTCGCATGATCATCCATTTGGGTTCATAAAACGAGAGGCGCTGCTTTTGTGAGAACTTCTACATCGATGGTCTTGTGCGCATTAAAAGGGAGTCCCACACGAGCCCCATCCTGGAAAGGGAACTCCATTCGACATCCACACGGACACTCCGCGGTGTTGCTTGAGCCTATTCAGCCCGGAGTCTCGAGCCGCTGTGGTTACTGTTGACCACGTGTGTGTGTGTGTTAACCACGTGTGTGTGTGTGTTAACCACGTGTGTGTGTGTTTACCATTTGAGTGTGTTAACCACTTGTGTATGTTAACCACTTGTGTGTGTTTACCACGTGTGTGTGTGTGTGTGTTAACCACGTGTGTGTGTGTTAACCACGTGTGTGTTAACCACTTGTGTGTGTTAACCACTTGTGTGTGTGTTAACCACGTGTGTGTGTCAACCACTTGTGTATGTTAACCACTTGTGTGTGTTAACCACGTGTGTGTGTTAACCACGTGTGTGTGTTAAAAACTTGTGTGTGTTAACCACGTGTGTGTGTTAACCACTTGTGTGTGTTAACCACGTGTGTGTGTTAACCACTTGTGTGTGTTAACCACGTGTGTGTGTTAACCAAGTGTGTGTGTGTTAACCACTTGTGTGTGTTAACCACTTGTGTGTGTTAACCACTTGTGTGTGTGTTAACCACGTGTGTGTGTGTTAACCACGTGTGTGTGTTAACCACTTGTGTGTGTTAACCACGTGTGTGTGTTAACCACTTGTGTGTGTTAACCACGTGTGTGTGTTAACAAAGTGTGTGTGTGTTAACCACTTGTGTGTGTTAACCACTTGTGTGTGTTAACCACTTGTGTGTGTGTTAACCACGTGTGTGTGTGTTAACCACGTGTGTGTGTTAACCACGTGTGTGTGTTAACCACGTGTGTGTGTTAACCACTTGTGTGTGTTTACCACGTGTGTGTGTTAACAAAGTGTGTGTGTGTTAACCACTTGTGTGTGTTAACCACTTGTGTGTGTTAACCACTTGTGTGTGTGTTAACCACGTGTGTGTGTGTGTGTTAACCACGTGTGTGTGTTAACCACTTGTGTGTGTTAACCACGTGTGTGTGTTAACCAAGTGTGTGTGTGTTAACCACGTGTGTGTGTTAACCACTTGTGTGTGTTAACCACTTGTGTGTGTGTTAACCACTTGTGTGTGTGTTAACCACGTGTGTGTGTGTTAACCACTTGTGTGTGTTAACCACGTGTGTGTGTTAACCACTTGTGTGTGTTAACCACGTGTGTGTGTTAACCACTTGTGTGTGTTAACCACGTGTGTGTGTTAACCAAGTGTGTGTGTGTTAACCACGTGTGTGTGTTAACCACTTGTGTGTGTTAACCACTTGTGTGTGTTAACCACTTGTGTGTGTGTTAACCACGTGTGTGTGTGTTAACCACGTGTGTGTGTTAACCACTTGTGTGTGTTAACCACGTGTGTGTGTTAACCAAGTGTGTGTGTGTGTGTTAACCACTTGTGTGTGTTAACCACTTGTGTGTGTTAACCACTTGTGTGTGTGTTAACCACGTGTGTGTGTGTTAACCACTTGTGTATGTTAACCACGTGTGTGTGTTAACCACGTGTGTGTGTTAACCACTTGTGTGTGTTAACCACTTGTGTGTGTGTTAACCACTTGTGTGTGTGTTAACCACGTGTGTGTGTGTTAACCACGTGTGTGTGTGTTAACCACTTGTGTGTGTTTACCACGTGTGTGTGTGTTAACCACGTGTGTGTGTGTTAACCACTTGTGTGTGTTAACCACTTGTGTGTGTTAACCACTTGTGTGTGTGTTAACCACGTGTGTGTGTGTGTGTTAACCACGTGTGTGTGTGTTTTCCACTTGTGTGTGTTAACCACTTGTGTGTCTTAACCACTTGTGTGTGTGTTAACCACGTGCGTGTGTGTTAACCACTTGTGTGTGTTAACCACGTGTGTGTGTTAACCACGTGTGTGTGTGTTAACCACGTGTGTGTGTTAACCACTTGTGTGTGCGTGCTAACTAGGGGGCATGCCGACCAGTGGGTGTCTCTTAGCCACGTATCAACCATATGGGGGAAGTGCGGCGGATACTCACGAGACCCGACGGATTCCGCACCCCAGCGGTGAGTCCGAGAGCAAATGAGTTTATTTTTTACTGCCACGGTGGCTAGGAGATGTTAACTACCTCGCCTGGTATGCAGGAGGTCATGGGATTGATCACGACGCTGACGCCTGCTGCTGTATATTTGTAGTCTGATGGTTCTCTCTCCCCGTGGTCGCGTGAATTTTTCTCCGGTTCCTCCGGTTTTTCCCCTCCACATTTAGGAGCATGCGTTTAACAGTATTTGGCTGCCATACATTCCCACGTGATAAGCCAACTTCATTGGGCTATCATTTGTGGCCAGGTCGCTTCTTAAAAAGAGTTTCATAGCTCAGTTGGCCTTGCCCGGTAAATAAAAATAGTTTATCGTTAAAATAAATTATGCTGCGGTTTTTTCCTTGGAGGAGTATCTTCGAATAACCGTGAGCCCTATTGACCTTGTACCGCATTCACGAGATGCTGTGGGTGCTTTTATGGTGAACCGATGAGAACGATGATGCAATTTGGTATCTCACACTCGTTCAGCATCTCCATGCCCGCTGGGCAGTTTGGACAACACCAGAAGAAGGTGCCATTGGCGGACAATTTCGTGATGTTTTGGTCCTTCCCGCAGCCGCACCTATGGGGAGTAAACCAAACGCGTGCAACCAGGAAGCCCTCAGTAGCGATCGGCTTAAGCAGCTGGCCATCATTTTTTCCCCCGTTTCCAATGCCCTAGGGGATTTACGCATCGGGGATTGCGGGCATTTCTACAAGAACGTAAAAGGGCAGTGAGGACCACGCTTAAGCCTTCCGTTATTACGATGAGGTTTTTTTTTTTAAAATAAAAATATCGTTTCAATGTTATCGAGGCGAGAGCTCACACGTGACCAGGGTAGAGCATCAGGCTCCAACCTAAAATGAACCTCACCACGGAACATGTTTTTAGACTGAGGGCATCGCTAAGGTCACTGAGGTCCTGGAGCTCTTCTCTGAGAATCTCCTGGACTTGGAGCGCAGCAGATCCTAAAGCCTCATCTCCCACCAATGCCATGCAGGAGTACAATCGATTTCACTCGTGAGTAGAGTGCAAAATACTCTAGCCCCCATGGAGCCTTTCAACCAAGGCCGTAGCCATGGAGTCAACATTTGGGGGGACCAAATCTTCCAGGGGGTCCCCACCCCCCCCCCCCAGAAAAAAAATCAAAATTTGAAAACGAATTTCCTGCCTAAAATATTTAAAAAATTCACTAACACATAGGATGGAGTTTTTTTTAGACAATAATGTTTAATAGTGTATTGTATTACATTGCTCTGTTTTTTTTTCTTTTTTACCTTGTATGTAATGGCAGAGATTAGGGATTAATAAAGTACAACCATAACCACAATCATATAAACAGATATCTATTTTAGAGTAATATATTGGGGGGACATTTTGAGCATATTTGAATAATGAGGGGGGGGGATGTGTCCACTCCCCCCCCCTCCCCCCCCCCCCAATATATATTACAATTACGGCCTTGCTTTCAACATATGGTTAGCGAGCACCTACGAAGGCTGGTACGACACACGATAGCTGCACACAAAAAAACGCACTTTTTCACACACACGAAAATATTCACACCCAATAATTTATTATCCTACACGTACCTCGCATTTCGAGTGGGAATGCAGTCCTCGATTTTCACCTGGTTACATGCTGCAAAAACCACACAAACAGGTAATGTTTTTCGATTATTTTTTTCTCTCGCTTAATCGGCATGCGCGGCATATGAATTTATATTCCGAGTTTAAGATCATGCTGGTAAAATGTAAATTAGAGGTATGCACTATCCACCTAGTGGACACAGCCATAAGGAGCATATTGTCACCTGGACAGATGTGCCAATTGATTTAGATTCCTGTCAAACTGATTACGTTGACAATATGGACAAGTTGCTGGTGAAATTTCGATGTAAAGCTTTCGTGACTGCAAGGATTCATCTTCTTTGGTTCTTTCGGTAAAGTCACGTAGAATGAGAATAAAATAATAAAATAACACAATAAAATTCTCACGACGTTTCGGCCACAAGGCAAGCGGCCGTCTTCAGGTGAAAGGTACAGACAGGTCTTTCACCTGAAGACGGCCGCTTGCCTTGTGGCCGAAACGTCGTGAGAATTTTATTGTGTTATTTTATTATTTTATTCTCATTCTACGTGACTTTACCGAAAGAACCAAAGAATAAGTTGCTGGTGGTTGCAGAACACTGTGCGTCAATCAGGAAAGGGCACACGATTAGTTCTGATAACGTTATGGTCTGTGTTATTATAGTCATTGGCAATGATTAAGGAACATTTTTAAATTGCAAAAATAAAATAAAAACTTCAACTGGGCCGAAAGTCGTCGACTTAGTAGACTGCCTGGAAAGGAATTAAATCTTATCACAATAATTATAACGAATCAAAACATCAATTGACTTTAGCCGTTCAAATTAGATAAATTGATTCGATTACAATGTACAACGAAGTCTGTTTAATGAACCGTAATCGTTAAGTAATCCTCATTATGCTAATTTAAGTAATCTCACAATAAACAATGCGTAACTGAAATAAGTTATTGTTGTAGTGTTTAATATATTAAACTAGTGTGATTGTCCGTCATATAACGGGTTAATAACATTTTCATTGAACTAAAAATACTAAAATTTGAAGATTGTATTGAATTTATTTAATTTAAAAAATGTCTATATGTCACATTTCGTAAAGAACAAATACTACATTTACAAAAATGTTTATAATAATCCCCGTAGCCTACACAGCGTTACACACAGCATACAGAGTGTCAGGCGTTAGAAACAGGTCACCAAAACTAAATGTATAATGCGTCAACACTGTTGAATGTCAGGAATGATATTGTTATTTATATTGAATCGTGGGCAGATAGAGACACCAATATCAGATTGACAGCAGTGATGTTGCTAAGCAGTGAGGCAGTGAGAAACGGCCTTAAATAAAAGTGAAACGTCTTTTGTACAGGACCTGAGGGTTCCAGCTGAAATCCCAGATTAATGGAAACCCACCTCCACGAAGTCCATTGTTGTGCGCCCATTGACATCCGAATTCACTGATTTTCTTTATAAAAAAAATGTTTACGTTCAGCCACCGAACTGGACGCACGCTCTCCAGTTCGGGAGTGCAACACGTTCACGCAATGTTTGAGCACTGGCTAATGCCTGACGATGCTGGGTGTACTCTCAGTCGAAGCGTCGTACAATCGTCACATTTTTACTTGTTTTTTGAATGCAACCAGTTTGCCGAGAAACAAACCATTGGCACATTTCCCCAGGTGACAACTTGATTTTATTCGGCTGTGTTGGCGAAGGGTTGCATCGCTATATCCTCATTTAAATTCCCACACAATATGACCCCAAAATATAAAGGCGTTTCATAATAGAGGTGGCAAAAAGCCTTCGCGGGTTAAATTAGCGTGGGCCTTCATTTATGACATTCTCTCCAACGTGCTACCCTCCGCTGTGTTAAAACGTGGATGGACAGTGAAATTCACCTTGAACGCAGCGTGTGCAGTACGAGCACATGGGGTTGGTGTTGTACTCAGAGGTGTAGGATCCCTCAGGGCAGGGCTGGCAGCGAGTCGGCGTGTCCACTGTGCACCAGGCGGATCTAAAGGATCCTGTCACCCAATCAAAAGACCCTCGTCAAATTAAGTCCGTGATAACCTCCGCTGGTTATCGTTACAGCTCGGTACACTGTGGTTGGTCACTCTCGATGATTGTTCGCACGAGTTTCAAGGTAGGGAAACCCTTTTTCACTGGAGCCTGCATAGAAGGAGCGTAATTCCTCGAAAGCTTCAATGTCCAAAGCGTAAAAATGCAATCACATCACAATTAGCTGTACAGGAATAAGATAACAAACTGCATTAGGGCCTCAACACATCTGGCTGTGTCTATGTCGAGGTTGCATTAGCGTAATGACGACTTGACACACTTCTCTTGAGATGGCACTTTATTGAAGACACGTTCACTTGACATCAGGCAGAGATCCCACTGCAACAGCCCCGAGTCTCCCCCGCATCTCCCCCTTTTATATCAACACGAGGCCACGCCCACCCTCTCGATCATCCTCGCTGACTCTGGACGCTCCCTCTACCGGCAGACTCTACCGTCCTCTTCCGTTACCTGACCACGCTCCCTTCTCGAACATTCCCGTAGCCACCAGTCCCTTCGCACTCACAACCGATACACCTGTCATTACCTCCCGTGGCCACTAGTGCACTCGTACTGTACGCTGACTTCCCTGTCATTACCTCGCGTGGCCACTAGTGCACTCGTACTGTACGCTGACTTCCCTGTCATTACCTCGCGTGGCCACTAGTCCCCTCACACCGCGTGCAAGCACTATTGCCACTACGTTTGTTTGGACAGGCAATGCTTCTGGCGTTTTCTTTGGAGTCCACCGATTAGACTCGGACCAAGGATGCGAGAACACCACCGCGAAAGTACCGGACCCAGAAGCATCAACCCTGTGACTGTCAAGAGACGGCTATCGCTGTTTGCCCGACTGCGATGCGTAAAGGCGGTGCGTTGAGGGAGCGAGATTAGCCGGCGACTGTAAACGTTCACCTGGGGTGCGCCACATCTGGCGCCATCGCCTCTGGCTGCCAACATCGAGAATGGCCCCGCTGCCCTAGAGGCAATGAATGCGAATGCCCAGCTGGGATGGAGGGCATCAAAAAAAAGATTTCCGGACAAGCTCAATAGTAGTGGACTTTAAGTGAAGATTTAGTAGTAGACCGTTTGAGGGGGCAGGGGGTCATGGCAAGACATAGACCCATGAGAGATCTACGAGTGGAAAACACCGCGACGAAGCCCAGGATGAAACAGATTATGCTCTGAAGCTGTTGCCCGTTGATGTTATGCATTGCCTGTCTGGTCGGTAATATGACAGGGTTGTTGTGCGTAACAGTTTCAGAAGGAAAATAAATGTCGTCTGAGGGCACGCACATCTTCCCGATGAAGGCAAGTTTAAACGAATGGGAGGAAAAAAATCTCCAACATAGAGGGCCACAGATTAAAGTATCTTGCGTGCTGTTTTTTATGGAGCCGCAGTTCGTCTGCAGACGATTTGAACGACAAAAGTGAGCGAATCAATGGGAGCAAGAGAGAACAGGGAATCCCGGAGCAAAGATGATTCTGGAGGCACCATCCACACGTTCTATTGATCTGCTTTACGTCTTGCAGCAGAGTGTTGTTCTCCACACACCATTGTTATTTGAATCGTCTAGAACAGCGGTCCCCAACCTTTTTGGCAACAGGGAACGGTTTCGTGGATGCCAATTTTTTCACGGACCCGGGGAGGGGGGGGGGAGTTCATCATTGGGTCTCTCCCCCTTTTCAAAGAAGCTCTCTGGCGCCGTTTGTTTTTTACTCATTGTGGCTACTAGGGGGTTAGAGCTCGTGGGCAACACCACGTGACTGAGACGAGTGCGCAGTGCGGGAAAGAGGCGCGGATGGAAGTGGTAAATAATAAAATAATGGGCGGGCCACGTGGGAACTCACCGCTCACCACCTCCTGCTGTGCGGCCCGGTTCCTAACAGGCCACGGACCGGTACCGGTCCGCGGCCCAGGGGTTGGGGACCCCTTTTCTAGAAGAAGAATACAGCAACACTAATTGTTGAGGAAGAGACACCGATGAAGAGGGGGAATGTCAGAAGCATTGAGGTGTACAGGGCCGACGGTAGAGTTGTTTGATGGACTGTCTTTTGTGAGGCCGTGTACCGGGAAGTTTCTGGAACATGTGAAGGTTTAAATAAAATACTGACAAAATACAATCGATATTTTAAGTGTTTTAAGTCTGAGAGAGAGATATATTGAGTAGGAAGCGAGGGGGTAGAGAGAGAGGGGGGGCAGAGAGGGAGGTAGAGAGAGAGGGAAGGGGTAAGGAGAGCAGAGCGATACATCTTTTGTTAATTATTTCATTTAAAAAAGGGGGGGGGGGGGTTTACATAAAGCAAAGCATAAACAAACAAAAAACCGAAATGATGAACGAAGCAAAGTGCCGACTACACCGAGCATCTTCTTGTTTCCTCTGATCGTAAAAATAAAACATATAAAAAAGAGAGAGATAGATGTACACCACAGTGAATGGTGGTGTAACGTCAATGTTTGGCTTTGTCTCTGCAATCATTTTGGGCCGCTCACCAGGAGGACACTTATCACAACAGTGCCCATCCATTGGATATTGCGTGAAGGGATTGCAAAATCCATCCGATGCTTGCACGGCCCCCAACGAGATTCCCAGCAGCACCTGGTGTGAGAGCACGCGTGGCACACAGACGTGAACGCACACAGCATCAGCAACTTTATTTATCCCGGAGGAAATCCGATGAGCTGAGAAGCTCTTTTTTTTTCCACAGACGTCCATTCCCTCCACCTGCCGAAGTCGACGTCGCTAACAAAGTTACAAATAGACCGAGGCAGTTACTTCGGTGTGAATGTGGAAGAGGATGGCTGGCCGATGGCAGAGATTTCACGTCGAATGTGAGAGAACAGCCGAAGGAAAGAACAAACACGCTCGAGAGAACGTCCATCAACGGTGGACATGGAGCGATAAAAGCAGCTCATGTCGGGGTATCACACGGATCATTGTTGAATCGCGTGACCCTGCAACATTTGGATGGCTGCGGGAGGCCTTTATCCAGTTGTGGATCGATCACAGACGAAGATGGCGATTATAAGACGACGACGTGAATGTGGCTGTCTCCTTTAGGCTGCCCCTTCGTCTCGACCTTCGGCTATATTCGAATGATGGTCGAATACTCACAGCACTGTGCACGGCCAGCATCATCATCTGGGCGAGATGATGTTATATCGGGGGATGCTGTTAGGGCCGTAGCGGTAGCTCCCCGAGTTGCTTTTCTCAGTGTGCGATGAATCTAAAAAAACAAACATATCAATGTTATTGCACTGGAATTTTGATTGGTGTGTTTGCTGTGCTACGTGGTGGTCGGCAAAGGCCCCATTGCAGCAATATCCAATGTTGTACCGTACTCATTGCTCACACATCAATGTTGTCCACTTTTACCAGTGAGCATCGACACTCACGACCTGCACGCCGTGGGGAGGCCATTATTCAGGAGTTAAAGAGCTCGTAAAGCCCGGACCAAGCAGATTAATTTGCCGTCCTGATTGTTGTTGCTTAATTGTTAGACATTCTATTGCAATGTTGTGGCGTTGACAACTCAAGCATTTTGCTGCATCCGCTATAACATCAGCTGTACTGTGTATGCGACCAGTACACTTTGATTGATTTAACAGGTGGAGCCCTGGCCTGCAAAACGAATGAATTCAATGCTCGATCGCTGCTCGATCACACAGACGATCGATTTGTGGATTGAAACGAGCCAATTTTTTGGCTGTTAGCCCGCCCATACTACAACTTTTGGCATCCCTGGGCATGAGCATAATGCGCTCATCAAAAAACACAGTGAAGTTAAAGTTTTGCACCTGCCATGGGGCCATCCATTTAGCACGTACGCAAAAATCTGTCAAAATTTTACCCCTCCCCCGCTCCCTGTAGGCACGCGTACTTTATACACCCCCACCTGCGTACATACTCTTGACGCCCCCTCCCCGCCCCGAATCCTATACAACGGCAGATATTTAATCCACGCAGAAACTATCAAGGCTTAATAATTTTAACGTGTTCAAGCAAACAGATTGTCAACCGCCGGACTATCTACCTCATTTGAAGGCCAATGTAGACAAATTATTATTGAGGCTTCACCCCCCCCCCCTTCCTTTCCTATGTGTACATTGTCAGTAGGCCCCCCATACGCAATCGTACGCATTTTGGTTAACCCCCCCCTCACCCCTCCATGCATACGTACTAAATGGATGGCCCCCATTCCTATGAAGCGTACGTTGCGTGGCCCTGGGATTACAATACGTGCCAGGGGGGCATTCGCAAAGTGAACCCCATCACAAAGTCGATAGCTACTTCTCTTATTGTCAACTTGATTATTAACGGCTTGTTTGTACAAAGCTTCAAGCGGTCTGCCCAGTGAGTGCTCATGAATTTAGCAACTTCAATTTGATTGAAGGTCAAGGCTAATGTCAGTGGCGAGTAATAACTGAACGGGTCCTGGTAACCCACTTCACCAACCCCCATTGCGTATGGTCAGGCAAGGCGTTAATCTCAGCAGTGGATTGAGAATGTATCCGTATATCAGTCGTGCATTGACAATTGATGACTCAGTCTGTCAAATCGACTGCTTCGTTCTTGTACATTTTCAGGCAAAAAAAATGTTTCTGGGAGGATCGGGTGTGGCGGTCACAGACGCCAGGATTCAGTTCTCTACTCGCATCTATAGAGCCTCGGCATCATACTTTTTTTTAATACAACGTGCAAAAACACAGTCAGGTCCTGCAGTGTTTATATCAGGGCTCTAAGACAACATTCGACCACTGATGAGTCGTGTAGCGATGTTTCGACAGGAGTCAATTACTTTACGGGATGTCTGGCAAGAGCATTAGCACGCTGCAGCCAGTACGACATTCGTTTGGCACGACGTGTCGCGACCAGTTACGGCAAGACCTGACACCGTGTCCGTCTGGTGCTCGCCGAGCTGCATTAGCTTCCAGTTGCCAAACGAGTACATTGTTTTAAGGTTGCACGGACTACACACACACACACACAAAGCGCGCTTACCACAAATGAACCACGACACATTGCTGATCTCCTCAAGGAGCATAGACCATTATCACGCGAACTCTGGTTTTAGTTTGTTGTCCTTCCCCTGAACCTCTGCTTAGAGCAGTTGGCCACGTACGGTGCGAAAGAAGTTCAACATTCATGCGCACAACCCCTTCGTGGAAGATCTCCTGCCTAAGCCTCAGGGGCGGCCCTAGACGAGTTGCCAGCAACTGGCGCCCTAGGGCAAACCCTGCGATCTCCGATTTTCAGTTTAATGTTTTTTTAAGCGTATTTGTTTTAACACACGGGCATAATTATCGGGGTTTTTTTCCGTTCGTCCTTCCGTCATCTGTCCGACCAATACATTCTCATAAACGTTGAGAGTTGAATTATAATTCACATTCCCACTGTATGCGCACGGGGAATTGAAACACTGACACTTTCGTTATTTGAATTTGTATTTTCCCCTCGAATTTCGCGCCCCCCACTGAACTTGGCGCTCTCGTTCCCCTATGAGGAAGGTCTGCCCTTGCATCTAGTGTCTCATCAGCATAGTGAGTCGTGCTTGCACCAATGCCATATGGTGTAAAGGAAAGCTACGTGGATTTCACGTTACTTTATTCGTGTCCCAGTGACATTTGCTGGCCAACCTTCAATCAACAACAGCAATTACTATACCACCGGTCCACCACCTGTCAAATAATAGTTCACACCTCACCGCGGTGGCGAGATGTTCAATCCCTCACCTGATTTATAGACGGTCGCGGTATCGGTACAAACTCTGACGCCATCGTTATATTTGGAGTGTGAATCTCTCTGTCCCCGCGGTCACGCTGATTTGTAAGTCGACATGCCGGTCCTCCGCTGCACACACTGAATCGACATCACGCGTTCAGAGTGTGCGTCTGCTGTGAGTGTCCGCGCGAGAAGCCACTTCAATTGAACTATAGTTTGTGATAGCCAGGTCGCTTCTGCAGAAGAGCTATACAGCTCAGTGGGATCTTACCGTGTCAAATAAGAAACAGCAAAGATACGTGTTTGGTCAAGTAGTTCAGTACTTTTCGATTTAAAGCTTTCGTGACTGCAATGATTCATCTTCTTTGGTTCTTTCGGTAAAGTCACGTAGAATGATAATAAAATAATAAATTGATAAAATAAAATAACACAATAATATTCTCACGACGTTTCGGCCACAACACAAGCGGCCTTCATCAGGTGAAGGGGGCGAGACTGTCTGGTAGGACAGCGCTGGAGTGGCCGCTTGTGTTGTGGCCGAAACGTCGTGAGAATATTATTGTGTTATTTTATTTTATCAATTTATTATTTTATTATCATTCTACGTGACTTTACCGAAAGAACCAAAGAAGATAGTTCAGTACTATAAAAGCACGGCAGTCGATGGTCGATCTTACCTGAAGCAGGTGTGCGAAACATTTCTCACTGTTCACCACTCGCATGCAGAGTCAGAAATGAATCACGAAGAAGCCGTGATGTCATCACGGCGCTTGTGTCAGGCTAGGTGCACTTTGAGGCCACGTGAAGCGTCGAAGGCTCGCCGACAGGAGGTCACGCGACAGACCCCAGGTGTTGTGAGTTGACTTGACTCGGAAGTCTGGCAGATTCACCAGCCGTGCCTAGCTACTGACTTACAACAATGACGTCGGGTCTAAGCTACGAGAGGACGCGTTGTAGGGCTTTACGAATCTTGCGAGTGTGTGGAGTTATAGCCAAGTGCCACATTAGCTCGTCGATGCTTATATATTGACGTGGTGATGACGGGAACATAAAAAAAGCCACATTCCGAGGTGCACATTTGTGAACAGTCAGTCACACCCTGACCAAACATGCGTTGAGTGAAGGTCAGACAGAGTCAATTAAGCTCCTTGAGGAATGTGAAAAATCTAAACTGGGTGCATAGGTGGAGTGGGTGTGTAAGTGAGTGAGTGGATAGGTGAGTGAGTGGGTGGGTGAATGGGTGAGTGGATAGGTGAGTGCGTGGTTGGGTAGGTAAGTGGGTGGGTGAGTGGGTGGGTGAATGGGTTGGTGAGTGGGTGGGTGATTGTTTGGGTGAGTGAGTAGGTGAGTGATTGGGTGAGTAGGTGAGTGGGTGGGTGAAGGGATAGGTGAGTGAATGGGTGGGTGAGTAGTTAAGTGAGTGGGTGAGTGAGTGAGTAGGCGGGTGAGTGGTTGGGTGAGTAGGTGAGTGGGTGAGTGGGTGGGTTAGTAGGTGAGTGGGTGGGTGGATAGGTGAGTGGGTCGGTGAGTAGGTGAGTGAGTGGGTGAGTGGGGTGGTTGAGTGGGTGATTGGATAGGTGAGTGAGTGGGTGAGTAGGTGAGTAGGTGGATGAGTAGGTGAGGGGGTGGATGAGTAGGTTAGTGGGTGGGTGAGTGGGTGTGTGGGTGAGTGGGTGAGTGAATGGATAGGTGAGTGAGTGGGTGGGTGAGTGGTTGGTAGAGTGGATAGGTGAGTGGGTAGGTTAGTAGTTGAGTGAGTAGATGAGTGGGTGGGTGAGTGGTTGGGTGGGTGAGTGGATGGATAGGTGAATTAGTGGGTGGGTGAGTAGGTGAGTGGGTGAGTAGTTGGGTGAATGGGTGGATAAGTAGGTGAGTGGGTGGGCGAGTAGGTGAGTTGGTGAGTGGTTATGGAGTGATTGGGTGGGTGAGTATTTGAGTGGATAGGTGAGTGGGTGTGTGAGTAGGTGAGTGAGTGGATGAGTGAGTGGGTGGGTGAGTAGGTGGGTAGTTGGGAGAGTGGGTAGTTGATTGAGTGGGTGGCGTGGATATCTTTACGATATCTATCCCATAGATATAATTGCTCAACTTGAGCTATTGATACTTTGATAAGTGCATTCCCTTTGTACTGTTTATCCTTGGGCGTTCTCTGGGCTAATACTGGTGGCGAGACAAGGCCATGAAGAAGGATGTCTCTGGTGTAGCCCAATCAGTTTCAAAGACAATGCGTATATTATAAGAGCATGTTTGTATGTTTTGCATGTTTTGCCACAAGTGTGTGTGGTTAATAGACTTGATGATGCCTTGCAATAGGTGCGTATCTATTTTTGTGTTTGAACATCTTAACACGTGTTTTATTTCTAGCAAGGTTAAAACCTATTATGCATTTTTATAACGTTGATACTGGCAACAAGGTTTTTGATAGGAATATAGGTTTCACTAATACTGACTAGGGTTGTTTTACTCTATTATAATATTTGAATTAAAGCAGTACAGAATGATACTGGGTTTCTCAAGTAAAATGAATCCGTGGTCTGAGCCAAGCCTTTAATAACCACTCATAAAAACTTGGCATGAAACTTATACCTGCATAATTAAGCGCAGGAATTCAAACACAGTTGAGTTTGTATCTTTTGGCAAGACGGCTTGCAAGAGTTTGCCGAAGTTGCGTAATCGCAATACCTCTTTGGATGAGATGAGTGTTCATGGAGCACTTGACATGAAAACAAAAGTCAACCAGCACCGTGAACACCCTATACGCTGCCCCATGAACACCATGCACGCTGCATCACGAACACCCTACGTGCGGCACCATGAACATCCTACATTGTGCGTAATGAACACCCTACATACTGAACTATGAACACCCAACACGCTGCGCCATGAACACCACACACGCTGCACCATGAACACTATACAAACCAGCTAGCTTCCGCAGGCGAGTCTAGCTAAAACTATCGGTGATCTCGAGAACAATAACCAGGTAATGTGCCCTCTTGAAAGCACAGAGCCAGAAATGACATCGGTCAGACATCTGCGATGACAGCACAAACAAAAATGTACCATCACCAATGTGGGTGATGATGGGCCTGTAGTGACCTTTGGAGCAGTGTGGAAGTATTTTTTTCCGGATGCGTGAAGTGTGCCTCCCACTTTGCTCGTAAATTACGTGCAGATATTCGGCGGACATCCAGTCAGTGAGGTCTTTACCGTCGGCCTGACCTACTGCACAGCCACACATTTTATGGTGGGTGTTAAGGTCACCAACGTATAGTGCTGGGATTGGTGCACTTGGCAGCCCAGGCTTTGGCCATGTTGAATTATGGGCTTTGGACACGTTTGGTGATGTGCAGCTTCCCTATTTTGATGCTGGTGATGCAGGTGGCTTCTTTTTCAATTGGTGTGATGGCGTAGACAATGCCATGAAAAATACGTACGTTGCCTTGGGCAGGACAAGTCACTAAAACATGGTTGTCAAGATTCATGATGGAATGGTGGCAGCCAATGGTGGAGCACGCTTGAGATGACGTTCATTAACAGCCTGCTCCTTTGTTTGCCCTTGGCGTATGTTGCCACAGACTTGAATACCACGCGTAATTGTAGGGTGCCACGGCTGGCTAGGAGAAGTTAACTACCTCGCGTGGTTTACAGGAGGTCGTGGGTTCGATCCCAACCCTGACGCTTGCTGTATATTTGGAGTTTGCATTTTCTCTCCGTGGTCACGTGGAATTTTTCTCCGGGTCCTCCGATTTTTCTCTCCACATTTAGAAGCATGCGTTTAAAGTATTTCGCTGCTATACATTTCCACATGATAAGCCACTTCGTTGAGCTATTGTTTGTGATGGCCAGGTCGCTTATGAAAAGAGTTACGTAGCTTAGTCCACCTTACTCGGTAAAATAAACATAGTTTGTATCAGAATCAGAATCAGAAAGGGTTTTATTCGCCATGAAAGTTCACACCGACACGGAATTTACTTTGGCAGGATGGTGCATACATTCAACATAAGGAATCTAAAATCTTAAATAAGTTTTAAACAAGTCTTACTATAATAATAAGGGTTAAAAGTCTAACTAACACCGAGGGGCTGAAGTATATAAAATTGAATATCGAATATAAAATAGCTTTAAGATATAATTTAAAAATAAAAAATACAAATAGGTTAACATAGTTAATATCGGCAAGGTGTCATCATGTAGATAAAATGTTAAAATCAGTGTAAGCCCTTGGCCTTGTTTAACAGGCCAGCAGCAGATGGGAAGAAACTGTTTTTATGGCGTGAGGTTTTGGTCCTGATGGACCGAAGCCTTCTGCCGGAGGGGAGTAGCTGAAACAGAGAGTGACCAGAGTGGGAGGAATCGGCCACAATCTTCCTCGCTCGCCTCATGGTCCTTGTCGTGTGCAGGTCCTCGAGGGTTGGTAGATTGCAGGCAATTATCTTCTCAGCAGTGTGGATGATACGCTGCAGTCTGCTCTTGTCCTTGGCAGTAGCAGCAGCGTACCAGACGGTTATGGAGGAGGTGAGGATGGATTCAATGATCGCTGTATAGAATTGCACCATCATTGTCTTTGGCAGGTTGAATTTCTTCAGCTGCCGTAGAAAGTACATCCTCTGTTGAGCTCTCTTGGTAAGGGAGCTGATGTTCAGTTCCCACTTGAGGTCCTGGGAGAGAATAGTGCCCAGGAAGCAGAAGGACTCTACAATTTTGACTGGGGAGTCTAACAGGGTGATGGGGGTGAGGGGGGCTGTATTCTTCCTGAAGTCCACAACCATCTCAACTGTCTTTAGAGAATTTAGCTCTAAGTTGTTCTGGCTACACCAGGTCACCAGGTTGTCAGCTTCCCACCTATAGTCAGACTCATCCCCACCAGAGATCAGCCCATTGAGGGTGGTGTCGTCCGCAAACTTCAAGAGTTTGACGGACAGATGATTGGAGGTGCAGCTGTTGGTATACAGGGAGAAAAGCAGTGGGGAAAGGACGCAGCCCTGAGGAGTTCCGGTGCTGATGGACCTGGAGTCAGAGATTTGTGTTCCCAGCTTAACGCACTGCTTCCTGTCAGACAGGAAGTCTGTGATCCATTTACAGGTGGTGTAGGGCACGTTCAGCTGGAAGAGCTTGTCCTGAAGCGGGGCAGGGATGATGGTGTTGAAGGCAGAGCTGAAGTCCACAAACAGGATCCTGGCGTAGGATGCTGGGGCGTCCAGATGCTGTAGGGTGTAGTGGAGAGCCATGTTAACTGCGTCGTCCACAGACCTGTTGGCTCTGTAGGCAAACTGAAGGGGGTCCAGGAGAGGGTCTGTGATGGCTTTGAGGTGTGCCAGGACCAGGCGCTCAAAAGATTTCATTACCACAGATGTAAGGGCGACCGGTCTGTAATCATTTAGTCCTGTTGGCCTTAGCTTTTTGGGCACAGGGATGATGGTGGAGGACTTGAGACAGGCTGGTACATGGCATGTCTCCAGGGAGGTGTTAAAGATGTTGGTGAACACCGGAGACAGCTGGTCAGCGCAGTGCCTGAGGGTGGCTGGAGAGACAGAGTCCGGCCCGGCTGCTTTGCGTGGATTCTGCCTCTTGAAAAGTCTATTAACTTCTCCCTCCTGAAAGGAGATAGTCGTCTCTGTAGTATTGGTGGGGGATGGGGCCTCTTGGGTTGGTTCAGGACAGTCCAATTGTCTTTCAAATCTACAGTAGAACTCGTTCAGGTCGTTGGCTAGGCGGGAGTCGTTAGTGGTGTGGGGGGCTCTGGGTTTGTAGTTGGTGATCTGCCTGAGCCCTCTCCAGACAGAAGCAGCGTCGTTTGTAGAGAACTGGTGTTTTAGTCTCTCTGAGTACAGTCGTTTAGCCTCTCTCACCGCTTTGCTAAACCTGTTCTTCGACTCCTTGAATCTGTCTCTATCTCCACTCCTAAACGCTTCCTCCTTCTCCAACCTCAACCTTCTGAGCTTTGCTGAGAACCAGGGCTTATTGTTGTTAAAATTCACCCTGGTACGTGTTGGGATACAGCAGTCCTCACAGAAGCTGATGTAGGACGTCACAGCCTCTGTGAGTTCATCCAGACTATTGGTAGCAGTCGTGAACATATCCCAGTCAGTACAGTCTAAGCACGCCCGCAAAT